GTTGTTGTTGTTGTCGTTGTTGTTTTCGTTGTTGTTGTTGTTGTTGCTGCTGCTGTTGTTGTTGTCGTTGATACTGGTGCTGATAGTCTTGATTATGGTGTTGATGATGTTCATGCTGGTATGGATGATGGTGATGATGAGCATGATGATGCCGATGTGCTGCGCTGCTGCTGATGGTGATGGTGATTGCGGTGATGGATGCTGGTGATGTTGGTGCTGATGATGATGATGACGATGATGGCGATGAGGATGTCGGTGATTGCATTGGTGACGATTGCGATGCCGATGTCCTGATGATCGTGGTGATAATTGTGCCGATAATGTTACTCTCAAGATTCCTCCTGCTAGCATTCTTCTTCGTTTCCTTCTTGTTATTCGTCCTGTCCTCCCTTGATAGTTGTTTTGGTGGTGGAGGTGGTGGTGGTGGGGGTGGTGGTGGTGCTATCGCCAATGGTCGTGGCAGCCTTGGTGATGGTCAATGCGGCAATGCGGCGGTGAGGGTTCTCAGCAGGATGGGTCGGGTGGTAGCGCTGGTGATGAGCACTCAGATGTTAGTGCCAGCCTGTGCAGTTGTGAAATCAAGGTGTCAGTAGCAGCGAGCTTGGTCTCTGTGCAAATGCGAGATCAGGGATGAGGGTGCAGTGCAATGCTATCGATAGTGCTTGTGGGGCCTAACGGCTCATGACGGAAATGGTGAGAGCGCCCAAAATGCTTACGGTATGACCCGGTATGAGCCACCAGCCTAGCTGCAATCTCTTCTGGTACATGAAACCAACATCCTCCCACGTCATCCTTCACAAGCCCTAATTATCGCTCAAAACCATAAACACACTTTTCGGGTTTTCGAGGCTCTCTGGTGCCGAAGTCGCAGCGCGCTTTCTGCATGGGCGTTATCGATTGCCTAGCCCAGGCGACGGGCTCCGGGGTGCAAAAACCATGGAAGCCGGGCGTGGGGTCTCTAAGTTTAGACTCATGTGAGGGTGGACGTTCCTGGTGGTGATACACCGGATAAGCCAAGATGATACAATGCTACTGGTACCATGTTGGGAAGGCCAGAGGAAGCGCAGTTCTACTGATACTGTGCTCCACTGCCTTGCACGTAACTGCTCATGTCTTTGTTGCATCCATTTACTGCGGCCTGACAGCGTGCCTCGAGCCACGACGAGGCGGTGCAGGTCATAGTGAGGGCGTACTTCGGGCAACTCCGAATTGTCCAACCGCTCCGAGCAGGCCCCGTGGCTCAGTGTTCGGGGTTCAGAGGTTTACAGGTTGAGATTTTAGGGCCCATGCGGGAAGCGCAAACATCGAAATCGTATTGCCTGGGCACAAGCACGACTTCCGAACCCCTCGGCAGCACATCGTGGCTGCGGACTTGACGACTGAGTAATATGAATTCGCTAAGATGCTAAAAATGCCATCAGCAACATTTACGACACCTTCTGCTGCTGCTGTCAACGGCTGCCGCAGCTGCTATGGCACTGCTGCTGCTGCTGCTGCTGCTGCTGCTGCTGCTGCTAAGTTGTCGTATTTCCAGTAGTCGCAGTTTGTCCAATTGCAAGATTCCAGTTATCGGGTTTCGGACTGTACTAGAGACAATAATGGCGTACTACCCTCCTTGTGTTCCGGGCTTTGCCCTCTGTGTCGTAGTAATTTTCAGCACCAGCAGTGGCAGTGGCAGCTGTCTGTATTAGCAGCAGTGCTCAAACGACCGCTCGCTCTTTTTGCAACGTGCCTTTTGGGATTACGCGTTTTTTGTGGTAGCAAACCTAGATGATGGACCAAGCACAACATGCTCCCTGCAAGCCCTGATGCAGAGTTCAGGCTTTATCATGTACGACGTCATGACCGTGGGAGTCTCTTTGAGTGTTGTTGCGGCCGCGCTGCTCTACGCACGGCTGCAGGGAGACGGCGATGAGGTGGGGAAGTTCGGAACAGCTTCCGGGTGCTCACGTTGGTTCACTTGGTACTTAAGTTTTGGGGAAGAGATCAACCCGGACTTGACTTTTGTCATGTTGGCGGCTGCTTCCCTTTTCTGACCATGTTTGGAATGTGACCAGGACACCTACTTCTGACCAAAGGCGCGCAGTGCTGCGGTGCAGAACCAACACTGCACTCAGCAGGATGCTGAAGCTTCTAATTGTGTGATTTGATCCCACAGAGTTGCTCGTCCTCGGAGGTTTGGGAGGCTTTCAACCGCCTCTGTCATGATTTCCATTTCCAGCACGGGTGGGTTCCCACTTGCGAAGCAGTGCCGTGATCATCGGAAATGGGACCCTCTCTGTCCGATGTCCGAGAGAGCGAAGAAAAATGAAAGAAGCGCCTGCAGGGCCTCGAAGCCCAGGGTTTCGGACTTTTGAGAGCTTCCAACAAGAAGGACAACGATTTCGCGGGTGTGTTGTTTCTGTCATCGCTCTTCTTCTTCTGACCCCTCCCCCTTTAGTAACAATGCTGCTAGTGCTGCTCGAGTCGTTGGCTTTTCACCAGAATATCAGAGCAAAGCTGATAGCAACGCTGATAGCAACGAGTGAACACAACGACATAGTACTCGCCAGGCTCACGGTCAATCTGAAATGCGCCTTCAACCCTAAAGCCTCCTGAATCCTAAACTCAAGGCCTTAATCTCTCAAAATGGGTGTTCATCAGAGGGTGTTGGGGTATGATCTACTATTCTACTATAATCATCATGAGGAGCCACCCTAAACCCTAAACCCTCTACCCTCAACCCTAAACTCTACCCTGGCGAGAGAAAGGGGCTACTGCATTAACAAAAAAGCCCTCTACCCTCAACCCTAAACCCAAAACCCTAAACCGTGGAACCCTAAACCCTCTACCCTCTACCCTACTCAAGGTACTTCTTTGGGAGTTTCCGAAAATAGGGGCCCTAATATAGTACCCTAAATAGTAGGACCCGTATTATAGGGAGCCCAAATAAGGTACCCTAATTTTGTTATAATTAAGGTAACTATACTTATAACCCCAATTAAGGTACTTACAACCCTACTTACTAAGTCCCATGATCCTCCAAGTACCCTACTCCAGGTACTTATCCCTAAACCCTAAACCCTAAACCCTAAACCCTAAACCCTAAACCCTAAACCCTAAACCTTATTTAGGCCTCGAGATCCAAAGTCCCAAGGCCTGGCCCGGGCCCTGGCGGAGCTCACCCCGGATGGCAGTTCCCTGAGCCAGGCGGCTCCAGGGAGGGCCTTTGAGGGTTTAGGGTTTAGGGTTTAGGGGTTTTAGGGTTTAGGGTTTAGGGGTTTTAGGGATTTTAGGGGTTTAGGGGTTTTAGGGTTTTTAGGGGTTTCGGGTTCTACGGTTTAGGGTTTAGGGGTTTTAGGGTTTGTGGTTTAGGGTTTTGGGGTTTTAGGGTTTAGGGTCTTGGGGTTTTTGGGGTTTTGGGGTTTAGGGTTTAGGGGTTTTAGGGTTTAGGACATTTAGCATTTAGGGGTTAGGGTTTAGGGGTTTTAGGGTTTAGGGGGTTTATCATGTAGGGGTTAGCGTTCAGGCCCTAACGCTTTGTGTGTTTTGGAGTTGAAGTTTAGAGTGGTTTGGGCCGTTTGGGGTTCGAAGGGGGTAGAATGTCGAAGATGTGAGGTGGTTTGGGGCTCCAGGGCTTTCAGCTCCAAGCTTGGATCTTCTTTTCTTGATTCCCCTCTATGCATATGGGAGTTTCCGAAAACAAGGGGTGCCTTATTATGGGTCCTTATGAAATAAGGATCCTATTATTTAGGATACTATATTAGGGTCCCCTATTTTCGGAAACCGCCATATGTGGCATGGGGATGAAGGGGGTTTGGGGGTGTTGGATTCGGAGGTTCGGAGCCAAGGATGCAAGGCTGTCTGGCAGTGTGACTGGTCTTGTGGCGTGCAAGCCCAAACTAGACCCACTTGGGGCTCCGACACTTTGCTGAATGGCTGTCAATTTCGGGGCATGTTTTTCAGGAATGATTAGAGAGCTCCCGAGAAGCTCAACCTGTACAATCACGGTAGCAAAAATGAGAACCCTCTGAAGGAAGCCCTTGAGGAGCGCGTGCAGGTCGTCAAAGCGGCAGGCATGCTTGGTTTTTTCAGGACCTTCACGGCCGCACTCTCTAGCAGATTTCAGCTTACATTGGTGCTGGATTGCACATGTCAGAAGCAGGGTTTTGGCCCATCTTCTTGCAAGCCTGCTTCGCCTGCCTCTTCTTAAGGGAGCGCTACTCGTAGCTCAGAAGCTGGATCTGGCCATGTTGCTTGCCAGGCTTATACAGATTGCATGCACAAACATGCAGCCAATGCACACATTTTAGCAGTGTAGCAACGGCAGAAGTAAAGCTTTAGCAGTGGCTCCACAAGTAGTAACTGATTAGGACTTTTCTCGACTGGTGCCCAACCCCAAACCCTAAATCGTTCAGGCTGGCCGACTTTTCCCTGACCCTCGAAGCAACATTTCCAGAGCCGTGAAGCCTGCACCGTGAAGAAGACACTCTAATTCTTGGCTGCGCACCCTCGCCGGTCGCTCGTGAGTTCCGAGCACGTCGAAGCATGGAACGCGTCAGACTGTAATGATGAGAACGGATGCTACATATATATATATATATATATATATATATATCAGCATAATCCTTACATCATATGTAATGAAACGATGCAAAATCTATTGTAATTGCCAACGCTCTCGGTGTTCCAGGCAAGTGCTGGAGCGTCGCGGAAGACCGCTTGGACAAGCGAGTCAGCAGCAACTAAAGGCAGATCCGGGTTTGCTGGGATATCAAGTTCTCTTTCAGACGAGTATGATACGTAAGGCTGAGGGACCCTGGAAGTGATTGTAGTTTTGAGTTTTGAGCGGTCCGCAGGTGCATGTCGCAATCGGGCCTTCAAGCTTGCTTTTTGGGTGCTGAAGAACTGTCGAAACGATTTCAACAACGACCTCGTTGGAGAGTAAGTAGGCCAATCCGTCCGCCATACTTGAGCTCATATTGGCTCATTGCTAACACCGCTTCACGGTAGTCAGCGGATGCAGGACATGAAGATCGAGTGAGCCGTTTGTAGCGCTGTGGTCACTTCCGATTTTCGCTGAGGGTTGCCTCAGCTTCGAGTGTACAGTATTGTTCGAATTTTCCGGCGCAGGCGGTGCAGGCAGGGACCTGCAAAAGAAAGCTGTAAGCAATATCAGCATGCTAACTTCCCAGCTGCTGGCCTCAGATTCAAAGTTCATGTCACGATGGCCCGTGCCCTCTTCATACTGCATGTCCGCTGTGACTTTCCGTCGCAGTGGGAGTGAGAGTGGACAGGAGTGAACTGCTCTTGTGCTTCATGCTAGTCAACCTGAACTTTTAAGGGATGACAGCAGGGAAAAGGTATCACACCACTTTTTTTGCAGTAGTCATCCTCGGCTGTTCTGTGAGTTGCAAGACGAAGCGGGCGCAAGCTTCGAGAAGTTCTGGACACCGTGGTGACAGACACATCCCACTGCGAAAGCCGCCGCTGCAAACGAAGTTGACCTGTGTGGCCTTTTGGCTCGAAGCTTCGGTTCCCGAGGGCCGCAGGGGAGCGCAGGGATGGAGGCCGGGATACTTTGGGTTTGCTTTCGGGCCCAGTTCGAAGGCTGCCGTGTCCTATTTGTCTGGAGGTGATGCACTTGGTTTTTAAGGCTTGGGCCCTCTTGGGGCTTTAGCTTTAGATTCGCTAGGTGGCGGGTCTTGCCTTCGGACATGTCCAAGCCTGTCTTCTGCTATCAAGGTTTGCATTCTGCGATCATTGAAGAGCCGCTGAAGAGCTGTCGATCCGTGGATGGCTTCATGACATCCAAGGGCAGACTCCGACCGCAGCTTTACGGCTTGTCCCGGCAGGGATCCTTGGAGATACAAGACATGCATATGCATATGCAGTCTTCATGGAGAGGCCCAGCTTTGCAGAGGATGGCTCTGCCACCACATATCGCTATGGTACTTAAACGGGCAGCAGTTTCTGTGCCTGCAGGGCAGTAGTAGCCTCCGCAAAAGCATGGTGCAGTGAGGAAATCTTTTGCAGTGTTTTGAATAGCTGCGCCATTCGGGCGCCGCTGGTCACGTGGCTGAGAGCCCAAACCCCATTCACGTGCAGGACCGCGCTCATGTCTTCCCTTTTAGTCACGTCGGGTTGGGGGCGGGATTGCTGTTCAGGAGTCTGCGCCAGCTTTCCGGTCCCATGGGGTGCGGTGCAAGTGTACCGGCTGCTCGGCAGTGCACGGTAGACTTTTCCCCCATAGGCCGCTACTGCTTTCATCATGTTTATCGCGAAGGTAGCATTCAAATTTGCTCACAACTTTAGGTTGTTCGGCTGTCTGGAACTTCGCATGCAAGCAAGCTGCAGCAGCAGAGAAATCTTGCGATAGCAAGTGAAAGGCTTCTGAGACAGCCAGGTTTGCAGGCTTCCGAGTCAGCAAGACTACTTTGCATGTTTTCTTCGCCTTCTTTGCAGTTGCTGTGCTGACATCTGCTCAGACCGAAAGTGCAGTGGCATTCCGCACGGTGCATGGGCATATGCGGAGGACTCATCGTGCTTGCACTCAGCCGTCAGTTTGATGAAGACAGTCTACTCCATTCGTGATGCGTTGCCTGCCGAAGTAGAATGTGAGCTACAGCTACCCCTACTAGTAGATGCTGAGTTGCAACTTGCTTCCTCGATGCAGGAAAGACTACGAGAAAAATCTGAGAAGCGCGCTGATCAAGAGATTCGAACGCAGCCCAGCTGCAGCAAGTGGAGCTGGTTGCGCAGATGAATTGATACCGTCAAGTTCTCCTTCTACTCCGCCTCTCCTCCTCCACCTCCTTATCGTCCCCTCCTTCTTTATGATGGTGAAGATGCTGGAAATATTAATGTATAGTATATGCATACATATGCATGGGATGTTTTGTTTTAGTGTGTTTTGCTTGTCTTTTCGAATGCTTGTTGAGTTATGAGCTAGTTGTTTAGTGCTTTCCACGTCATTGTGTGCTTACCGCCGTATACCGCTGTAGGTGTTCTGGCTACTTTTTGTTTGCTTTTCGCTTCTCTCGCCTTGCTGAGAAGAACATACTGCAACCCACCGATGAATCCCTTCCAAGGTCCCAGGGGGTCGTTTGGTCATTCGGGATTGTGTTTGCAAGGGCGCAAAACTTGCTATGAAGACCCTTCTGCAATACCCCGATGAATCTTTCCCTAACCGGATTCCCAAACCGGGTTCGGTCCCAGTGGGGGGGGCGGTTCAAGAACTGTGATCAGCCGCCATCGTCTACAGTGGTGGCGGGTTGAAGCAATTCGATCAACCAGCAACGCCACGCGAGATGTGTGAGTGTAAGCCAAAGAAACGTGATCAACCGGCATCGCCAAGTCATCGCCCAGCGAATAGGGGGGCAGGCTTAATGTGATCAAGCGCCATCACGTAGTGAGGGGGCGGGTCTAAGAGATGTGACCAACCGCCATCGCCTAATGTGGCAAAGGTTTAAGACATGTGATTCAACCGCCATCAATTTTCTGAGTGGCAACGCAACATCCGCCTCGCACTACAACCAACAGCTGCAGTTTTGGTGTAATCTACAATGCCGAAAACCTTTCTATTTTGCTTGCAATATTCACTGCCCATGCACGAACTCCGAGTGGTACATTGCACAAAACTGAAAGCATGTCGATCGAACCGACAACTATATTTTGCGGCAACTAGCTTCTCCAGAGCTCCAATTGCTGTATGTTGCAGTATTGGAAGCATCTCAATGGAAGCGAGAGCTGGGCTTTACAGGAAGCAGAAGCCTTCAAACAGAAGCCTTCCCCAAACATCAACACACATCTCCATACTTAATTCCGGACACTGCGCATCATCATCATCATCATCATCATCATCATCATCATCATCATTGTCATCGACGCTATCAGAACTATGATGTTTGTGGTCATCACCCAGTGCACCGTTACCATCGGCACCGTCGTCTTGCTGCTACTGCTTCTGCTGCCACTGCTGCTACTCTTACTCCTCCTGTCGTGATCCTACACATACTCTTACTCTCGCTCCTGCTGCACCTGTCACTCCTGTTGCCCCTGCTACTCCCCCCTGCTGCTGCTGCTGCTGCTGTTGCTGCTGCTGCTGCTGCTGCTGCTGCTGCTCTTCAGTCGAGTGTTTTGCCAGCCTGCACCGATGTGCTTGTCGGTCAGGTCCTGACCGCTACGAGAAAGTGGACGTGCTTGAGCTAGTCATTCAGCAGCAAAGTACAGCGGGATTGTGTGGCTTCGCGAGGCATGTATGTATTGATCCCTTGCATCTCAGCTTGACATCGACGCTGAACTGCGGCTGGGGCGGACAACGATCTAAGAACTCTGTAGCAGGACACTGCACACAACCCCAAGCCCTAAACCCCTAAACCTGGAGAACAATCTCTCCGGACTCCTGCTTTAGCCTGGCACAGCTTCGACCCTCACTACCGCATAACTAAGGGCAAAGCATTGCGTTGGTGATAATTCGTACGTTATGCATAAGGCCAGCCAACAACCTCAGCCTCATAGGCTTTCTGACTCAGGGGTGACACTGGCAGGAGGAAAAGAGGTGTCAAAAAAAACCTAAACCCTAAACTGGCCTTAGACCCTACCCCCAAAACCCCCCAAAACCCCTTAACCCCTAAACCCTAAACTAAATCGTGGAAGAGCAGGGCTCACTGCAGAAGTCAGGCCCTGCAGAGCTCCGAGCAGGCCGCCCAATACGAGGGCTTCGTCGATCGAGGCCATTCTGTTGCAGATTCAGTTTCAATACCAGTATTATTCTATTAATAGTAATATCGTTACCATTACTAGTATTGCTATTGTTGTTGTTCTTATCACTATGATAATTTTTGGGGATTTGAATTTAAAGGTTTTTGCGACAAGGGAGCCATGCAATTTCCCCAAGCTGGGACGGGCGCAGCATGTCGTATGCAGCAGGGCTTTGCGTGGGAGGGCCACTGCTTCCTCATAGCTCGGCTCGGCTCTGGCGCAAGACTTCTGAGCCGAGGCTATCGATGGAAGGCCAAAGATCCAGCAAGTGCCGCCTGACATGCCATCTGGTGCCAAGGGGTGCGCAGGTTCTCTGTAATTTGTGCCGAAAGATCCGAGGCCATCCAGGACATGAAGGAAGAGCGCCGCATTGAGGACCGGCTGACCCTCTGCAGGCGCGAGATGGACGGGGAGAAAGGCGGAGAGAGTGACTGCAGGCAGCGAGCCCCAGCGGCTTTATGTAACTGGCAGGATGTCACCTGCGTTGGGACATGTGCCTTACGCAAGAAACAGTGCCTATCTGACCGATCCCTGCTGTTGAGCGCTGCGAGTCTGATGCAGTGTGACCTGCTGCCAGGATTCATGCTGCCTGGCTGTGATTGGCGGGATCATGTGTCATCAGGCATCTCGAATTTTGCTGTCCAGGGCCATGTCACCTGTAGGTCTTGACAGCAGTTTCGATCGATCGGGTCCGAGCAAGCGCTTGTTCTCGAAGGGCTGAGTGGTGAAAGAGCGGCCCTAAACCCTGAACCCGTTAATTTGTAGGAACCCTTGAAGGAACCCTTACAAGAATCCTAGTCCTAGTCAACCCGAAGCCGATTCGCCGAGGAGCTGGCCTCTGGAGCTTTGGCTGCAGCAACGTCATTGACAGAAAGCCTTGCAGACTGCTTGTTGCAGACTGTTTGTTTCCCGGAAAGAGCTACAAGTGCCGTCATGCACACTGCATAAAGAGGGTTCTAAGGCCACTCCTTCCGAATCGCTTAAACATGACTCCTGTAATCCTCGACATCCCCGAAGAACTTGTCGATTAGTGTAGAGCCGTAGTGGCAGCTTGTTGCTCTTTCTGGTTGAGTCTGTGGTTCTTGGGATTGCCCTGGACCTATCTGAGGCCTGCGACTGGGAAACGAGTCAGGCGTGACGATCCGGAGGCAAGTCAGCAGTGGATCCCAGCTTACCGCTCTGCCTCCGGACTCCAGCCGTAATTCCTTCCCGCACCGGTGCGAGCAGCACATCCGCAAGCTTTTGGGTCAGGACGGACGGAAACGACGGGGAGGAGGACTTAAGGAAGGCCGGCCTGCTGCATCACCGGGAACAGCTTAGAAGAATAGAGCGGAACCTTTCAAAACGATGAGCCCAGGGAAGGGTTCGAAACCGAAGTCCGCAGTTGTTTCTTCCAGGCGCTGCCCATCGAGGTGCAGAAGACAGTCCTCGAGCGACTTGCCGCCCAGAGGCTTCGCAAGGCACCCACGAGGCAGGCTCAGCAGGCCGATGGGGGCAAACGAGGACGTTGATCCCCGGACGAAAGGGTGAGCGCAGTAAAGTGTAGTAGTGATGACGGTTTTTATCAATTGTGAGCACCGGGAGGGGGAGGGGGGGTTGGGCAGGTATGCGATTTTAGTGTGTTTGGGATTCGGGATTCTGTGTATTTGCCGGACACTGCTATGGAAGTTTTGCTGTCCTTCAGTGTACCTTTGTAGTCGATCTTCCGGAAGCTACCCACACCCCCTGTCTGGCCTCAAGATACCAGCAGTCGAGACAAGGCACTATTTCATCGTAACAGTATGACAGTATGAAACATCTGATGCCACAAGCAAGCAAGGCTTACATATGTACATGAAGGTCTCATATGCATATGTGTAGGTGTAAGTATATGAAAAGGTCTAGTATAGGTGTATATATATATATATATAATGTATATAAGCAATGTCCGAGACATCGCTTGCATAAATATACAGCATACAAGAAAGCGTATGCAATATATGATATATAGCAGATAAAAACGTTAAATGATAACATACAAAACTTTCAACATATAATACATAATGTACCATATACAATATATATATATATATATACACACACATCCGTATATATGTGTATATATATATGTTACATAATTTAGAACTTATAGTATAAAGTCTTTAACATAAAGTATATACTATTTAGAAACAGTATAGAGTACATCCTAACAAATACATACTAAAAATACATAACGTATAACGTAGAATACCTATGACATAATATATAATATTATATATACATATATTATACATAACGTCAACCAATATGTGCGCATATATATATATATATAAACATACATACACAAGATGTCTCTCTCTCTCTCTCCCTATATATATATATATACATATAATACACACATAAAGCTTTTGCAGACCTGGCTCAAGGCGGCTAAGCAGCTGCGGCGTCGTGGCTCAATTCGACTGAGGGCAGGAGCGGCTTGGCCTGACCTCTCGGTTTGGGGCTGGTAGATGTCTTCAGCAAAGCCTAAATCCTAAACCCAATTATGTCATTCGAGGCTCCAACAGCTCCGAGGAGTTGAAGCTTTCGTACAAAAATCTGATTTTAAGCAGGGTGTGAGCTGGCATGAGGTATCAGGAGGTATGAGGCTCCCTTCTGCTTGCTTGCCATTCAAAGCTGGGCAACAGCTGAACGGCTTCTTCCAGTCCGAAGGGTTTTCTTGCACAGGGCAGGATGCATCTGCTGTTGTCGAGCGCTTGTATTCTGGGGGCTTTTGCCAGGGCTCAAGTATCTCCTATCATAAGAGCACTCTTTCTGGATGCACAGCAATCAGGTTTGAGCAGTCCAGCAGTCCGAACTGGAAAGTCAGCTGACGCGGCGTTCCTGAGTTGGGCGTCCAGATGTTGGTGTGGTTTCTCAACGCTAGTTGGTTCATCACCCAGCTCTGCACGGGCAGTAGACTGCAGCTTGCAAGCCTTGTGGCGCTAAGTTGCGTTGAGAAGCGTCGTTTTTAGTGAGCTCCGCTAGCTCGGACTTTTCGCTTTGACACAGTTTCTAGGGCATGTGCCTGCGCTGGGACCCGCCTGGCGCTGGCACATACGTTTAGCAAAGGAATTCGCGAAGAGCGTCTCACTGTTCGGCACCGTCTTGGGCAACTCTAGCAGTAGTGGATGGGGTTGACACTAATAGCCGTCCAATGTCACAATTAAGAAGAGCGACCGGCAGCATCATCAATGGTTCTCGAAGTGGATGGGTAGTAAGTTTGGTGCAAACACATGAGACGCTCAATAGCCAGAGGCCACTCTCCGGCGTTGAGTTTTGCGCTTCAAGAAGGAAGCGACACTCGAGCATGCGCTGTGCGCTTGTCAACTTGCGTGGCTTCCCCACCAACTCAACGAGACCGCGAGCGGCCTGCGAACCTGGTTCTTTTTCTGCGGCCCAGGGCGTTTAGTGGGGCTGCTTCCATGGAGCTCCATCGCTGTGTAGAGCTCCTACGGAACTGCTTGTTCTGCTAGCGCCCTGTTTTCCGACTGCACTTTAAACCGAAGACAAGCTCTTCGAGGAATCAACTCGACATGTGGCGCTGAGGCCCAGACACAAAGTAGGATTTCATGCATGGTCCAGGCGTAATGATGTTACCTACTCGTAGCTGCCAAGGCCAGCCGAGGGTTTCTCCGCGTTCTCTTGGAGAGCGCAGACTAGCCCCGGAGGTGCGAGTTTCACTCGATTTGATGCTTTGCTTGCTTCACACCGGCTTGACAGTAGATGTAATAATCACAGCAACTCATGTATGGGTATATGAATCATGCACCACGATGAGGGACAAGCCGTAGTCGGGGTGTCTCAAATCGGCTGATGGAGATGTTCAGCCCTGTTTTTGAATCAGCGATGAGCTGTGTCAGCTACAGTCCGCTGGGTGCTTCATCACTTTCGACACCCAGCAACGCGCCATCTAGCCTCAGGATGCTTGAAACACAGCGGTCGCTTGCTACTGCATGCAGCTCATCGCCATATACCGCATAGGCATGGTCTTTAAGTAGGCTATTCTCGAAGATGTATTGCGCAAAGCACAGGAGACTTTCCAGTGGTATGGCCAGCAGTGTCTGCTTGGTACTGTGCTGCCGTGTTATACTACCAGAAGGCTCCACGGAAGCCGTCTCGTCCAGACTCATGCGATACTGGTAGCCCCAATAGCATCTTGCTCCACCATCTAGGCGTGATGGTGCTATTATCGACCTATCCTGCAGTAAGAGTAGGACTGTGGCGTTGACATTTGCAGGCCGCAGGTGTTGGTCTCAGAGTCCTTGCCACAACTCCTATCAGCCCTCCAGTCACCGGAAGTTGCACGAGCACTGGGTCTGGATGGTCTGCTGCGTCGTACATAGGATATAGTTTTGAGCGTAGCGACTTCGTTAGTGATTCGTTTTGCATAGACTAGACGAGACCCAGGACTGCTAAGCAGACAAAAAAAAGATTTTCGTTTGATCGTGAAGCCCAAGCTGGAGAGCATTGTCCCTCCACCCTTAACCCTAAACCCAACATTGTCGTTGCCATTGTTGGACATGTCCGATGCAGCGCCATGAACGCCGAAGAGTCGTCGCTGGAAGCCACTGGAAGCTCCTGGCCCGAATCCAGTCTGTCACCCTGGTCCCCCCAAGCTTCAGTTGTTATGTCAACTACTGTTGTCACTATAATGGTTGCTATCACTAACTATTGCTACTACTGTGACTGTTACGATTACGATTCGATTGCGGCTCTATCACTATTATAGTCACTTGTCTTCAGAGAAGAGGATCCGGCAATGCACGTGCCAGGATCCAGTGGAAGACTGCTCCGACGCAGAGGCGACCGTGAGAAGTGGGGCTTGCCAGGAAGGGGTGGTGCCCCATTGCTGCCACCCAGAGCTTCAGGAGTAGCAAGGCGAGCCGGAAGCCGAAATCGCAGGAGCCAAAGGGGATCAGATCCAGATCCCCGCAGCGAAGCTCCGACAGTTCTTGGGGGGGCCCCCAACCAACCAGGAGCCAAGCAACCTGAAGCCCTTCATCCCGAAATCCGTGGAGGCGCCGCCGGCACGAACGCCACCGAGAGCAGGCGAGGATCTGTGCATGGCCCCAGAATCTTCCTGCTCCTCTGGCAGGTCGTCGCACCTGCCGTTGTCATTTATAGCATATACAAGGAAAAGTCTTGATCTGTGACAGAGGTATCACGGAGTGAAGCCTCCGGAAACTTCGAGTTGATTCGTATCTCATCCGCAGCTGTCCTCTAGAAGACCAAAGAAGCCGCAAAAGCATAGGCTTCCCTGCCAAGATCTTGATATTGTAACCAGTCGGTGAGGGCCTCCCAACATCAGTGCAGCACGTTTCGATTGTTGCTTGCAGTGCTTCTGTGCTTTCTGTAGCTTTCGCCAGCGTCGATCCTGCTCTGGTCTACTGCAGTCTTGGAATCGGCAGAATGTATCACGGATTGGTTGTCAAGACGCTGGCCCTTCATCAGAACCCAACGTAGACTACGACGCCGCAAAGCCAGGGCGCTTCGCCGCTCGCTTCGGGAGTCCAGCAGGCCGATCCAGCCCAAGAAAGCGCCGCGAGGGATGAAGTCACATGGTCGGTCTACTTACTTAAAGGATCATGGGACTTAGTAACTAGGGCTATAACTAAGGTAACTATACTTATAATCACTTATAACCCCCAATTAGGGTACTTATAACCCTATGTTACTAAGTCCCATGATCCTCCGAGTAGAGACTGCTTACAAGGAGATTCTATCATGCTATCAATATGATGCTTTGTTGCTCCAGGCAACTGCGCTGAAGGAGCCGCTGATGACGACAACGAGGCCTGAGGGTGCAGCCCACAGGTAACCGTGGTCTGCAAGCAGCACTGCACAGCGCAGCACGGCCTGAAGAAACCTGATCCGTGGCGCACATGCTACACAGCTTTCCCTCAAGGACTCGACCACAGAAGTTAAACCCTGAACCCTAAACCCCTAAACCCCTAAACCCTCCTAGGCACCGAAGTTTCAAGCCGCTTTTCAGGAGCCTTTGGAGCAGAACGTGCTCGAGGAGCCAGCCGAGACTCTGGAGGCTCTGAGTGGATCTCTCCAGTCCTCTTACGAATGACTGCTTCCTTAATTTTAGGAGTTTAGGGGATCTTATTTTGGGGTCCGTCTAATAAGGATCCGACTATTTGGGGTACTATATAAGGGTCCCCTATTTTCGGAAACTCCCTTATCATCCGAACCCTAAAACCCAGTATCCTGACAAGACCCTTGTACCTAAGGGATTCCAGAGCATCTAGTTACGAAGCACTTACTACCAATCAGCTACTGCACGATTATAAGTATATACTAAACTGTGGGTTCCAGCACTGTAGACAGGTATTGCGGGTTTGGATAAGGCCTTCTCTTGTTGCACGTCTCGGCTTGAGGGTAACTCTATCTGAAGCTGCTTCGGTCAGCCTCCCGTGGAATATCTTTCTTTCCGTGGACCTACAGGTGGAGCTTCGAATAGCATCGTCCGCTTGGTACCTCTCAT